CGCCGCCGCCCGCCGCTCCGGGGCCGCGATCCGGAATCCGCGTCTTCGCGCCGCCCTCCGGGGAGGCTCTCGCTCCGCCCTTCCTGAAATCCCTTATATTAACTGTGGCCAAAGCCCTAAGAAACACAGCTCATTGTTGGCAGCTGCCGGGCGGTCCTGCCGAGCTGTGCGGGCTGCGGAGGGAAAAGAAAAGGGAACGGCTTGGAATCTGCCCCGGCGGCCGCGGCGAGACCTCGGCACCGACCAGGCGACCGCGAGCGCCCCGCACGCCAGGAAGGGCCCCTCTATGCGCTGCTGAGCCGGTCCTGGACCCGACGATCCCGCCCTCGGTCTCCGGAGCAGACATCGCAAAGACGAAAGGTGAGCGCGGCGGCGACGCCGACCGGGGCTCCTGCGAGCCGCGTCCTCCGAGGGCTGGGTTTGCCCGGAGGAAGAGCGCGAGGCGGAGCTGGGGAATAACAACAGGATGTGCAACAACAGGATGAGGAGGGCTGATCGAAAGCCCGAAGTTAGCGGCGTGGCTACGGGGCACTTCCTTTATTAGGCCACTTCGGGGAACGCACGGGGGTGTGAGATCGGGTGCCCCCCACCCGGATCGCCGGGCAAGGGGCTGTCTGTGCAGCGCCCGGCTCTGTCGTGGGTGGCAGGTCCTCCAAGGTGATGCACGGGCTGCTGCGAGTGGGGTCCTGGGCAGGGAGGGTTGCTTGCAGCTGACGCGCGCCCGGGGAGCCTAGGGGAGCAGAGGCACGAGCAAGTGGGGTGCGCCACGGTGGGCGACACGTGTGACGCGGGTCTGATCGCCTGCCCTTTTCACTTTCAGAACTGGAAATGGCAGACCATATGATGGCCATGAACCACGGGCGCTTCGCCGACGGCACCAACGGGCTGCACCACCACCCAGCCCACCGCATGGGCATGGGGCAGTTCCCGAGCCCCCACCACCACCAGCAGCAGCAGCCCCAGCACGCCTTCAACGCCCTGATGGGCGAGCACATACACTACGGCGCGGGCACCATGAACGCCACGAGCGGCATCAGGCACGCCATGGGGCCGGGGACCGTGAACGGCGGGCACCCCCCGAGCGCGCTGGCCCCCGCCGCCAGGTTTAACAACTCCCAGTTCATGGGCCCCCCGGTGGCCAGCCAGGGAGGCTCGCTGCCCGCCAGCATGCAGCTGCAGAAGCTCAACAACCAGTATTTCAACCATCACCCCTACCCCCACAACCACTACATGCCGGATTTGCACCCTGCTGCAGGCCACCAGATGAACGGGACAAACCAGCACTTCCGAGATTGCACCCCCAAGCACAGCGGCGGCAGCAGCACCCCCGGCGGCTCGGGCGGCAGCAGCACCCCGAGCGGCACCCCGGGCGGTGGCGCAGGCAGCAGCGGCGGCAGCGGCGGTGGCAGCGGCGGCGGCAGCACCATGCCCGCCTCCGTGGCCCACGTCCCTGCTGCAATGCTGCCGCCCAATGTCATAGACACTGATTTCATCGACGAGGAAGTGCTCATGTCTTTAGTGATAGAACTGGGTTTGGACCGCATCAAGGAACTGCCCGAACTCTGGCTGGGGCAAAACGAGTTTGATTTTATGACGGACTTCGTGTGCAAACAGCAGCCCAGCCGAGTAAGCTGCTGACTCGATCCAACCCCTTGGAAAGAAATCAAACCCCCAACTTCTTCGGTGTGAATTAAAAAATAAAAATAAAAAATAAAAGAAAAAACATTCCCCTAGACACAGTATCTCACTTTTCAGATCCTGAAAGGTTTGAGAACTTGGAAACAAAGTAAACTATAAACTTGTACAAATTGATTTAAAAAAAAAAAAATGCTGCCACTTTTTTTTTGTTGTTTTGTTTTTGTTTCGTTTTTGTAGCCTTGACATTCACCTCCCTTATGTAGCTGAAATACCTAGCTAACTTGGTCTTTTTCGTTGTTTGTTCTTACTTCTTATTTCCTCACCTCCAGTGCTCAACTGTTAGGTATTAATCTTGGCAAACTGCTTAATCTTATGGATTTTGTAGATGGTTTCAGATGACTGAACTGCGTTCAGATTTAGGAGTGAAAGGAAAAATTGCATTAGCTGGTTGCATGAACTTTGAAGGGCAGATATTACTGCACAAACTCTGCCATCTCGCTTCATTTTTTTAAACTATGCATTTGAGTACAGACTAATTTTTAAAATATGCTAAACTGGAAGATTAAACAGATGTGGGCCAAACCGTTCTGGATCAGGAAAAGTCATACTGTTCACTTTCAAGTTGGCTGCCCCCCCTCCCCCATATGTACAGACAATAGGGTGTGGAATGTCGTCAGTGCAAACATTTCACAGATTTTTATTTCTGTCTTCAACATTTTTGACACTGTGCTAATAGTTATATTCAGTACATGAAAAGATACTACTGTGTTGAAAGCTTTTTAGGAAATTTTGACAGTATTTTTGTACAAAACATTTTTTTGAAAAAATACTTGTTAATTTATTCTATTTTAATTTGCCAATGTCAATAAAAAGTTAAGAAATACTTGTTTTCTAGAAGTCATTTGGGGGGGTGGTTCCCTTTGGTGGCTTTTTTTTTTTTCCCTTCCCTGCCTTTAAGTTGAACACTTTATTGATGAGAGTAAGCATTCCAAGGATAAGTTACAGGACACTAAAACAGGTCATGATGAGCTTAGGCAGAGAGCAGGATTTAACGTAATTGGCATAATGCTTCATTGTTATTGTAACATGGCTCTTGGTGTGGTTTAATCAAAAGCTGCAAAGTTGTCAAAGTGCTACATTTTTTTTCCTTAATTGCCATCAGATTCAAGTGTACTCTTAAGAGTTAGAAACGTTTGCAATACTAAACATAAATATCTTCCCCTTGGGGGGGCAGGGGTAAATCAAGTGTTTCGGGTTCTACCTGATTCAACTGCTTAAATCGAGTTAGGCTCCAGTAATATACTGAGTGACGAATGGGGGTGGTATTAAATATAAATCTACCTTTATCTCTAGTGACAAATTTTATTTCTCAGGAAAGTGCTAAGGATAGGCACACGTTTCTAGCTTAATCTCTGAAATAGCTTCTGACTGGTTTATAATGCTAAGGAAGAGGGGGTGTATTCCACCTTGAGGCTTGCTATTTTCTATAATATTTAAAATTCGCTCAGGTTGATGCCAAGGTCAAATTACAGTCTTCACAAGATGTTCCCTCAAGTATAACCTGTTTTCCAGAATTCTGAGCTTTTCCTGTTACAAGCATTGGGTGCAAAGCCCATAAAGATAAGATCATTTTAATTTTACCTAGATGAGACATCAAGGGGGCCAAACTGCATTTAAGTGGATGTCAAGTTTTGCTTTATATAATCAAGTGAAGGGAACTAATATTATTACAATCTCAAATTATTCCAGGTGGAAGGAGAAGAAATTTTATTTTTGTTTCTCCCTGTTTTCATAGCTCATAAGAGGAACATACTTATGTGCAAGAAAAAAAAAATGTGCTTAACCTATGAGAGGAGTAAAGAAATACAGGTAAAGGGAAATCTTAGAGGCAATGCTTTAAAAGAAAATTTCATTTAGAGTTATATTCTCATTTTAAAGCACATATTTCATAATAAATCAGGCAGGTATAGAGAAGTATTACCTTAGAGTGTGGTAACTTTTAGGTTGATTTAGGTATAATTCCGATCACCTGCAGTCCACCTGGAATTCTGTTTCCAAGGGAGGACAGGTAAAATCAAGATGCATAACTTCAATGGATTTTTTTATACCTCTATAATTGACACTTTATTTAAAATGATGTTCTACGTAACTAATTTCATTCAGAATACACTGAATCAACCAAAACTCTTTTCACCCCATTTTAAAACTGCATCCAGATTTCCACGTTAATAGTTAGAGCCGAAAGTTCTCTTCAGTTAAGACATGTCAGTACCAAAGCTGCAATCAGCAGTAAATCTTCCTGGCTAAGCATTTTCACAGTAAGTTTTTCTTTCCCTTTCTCTTTCCCATTCTTTTTCCCTCCAGAGGTTCAAGTGAAAAAATATGTTTACATACATATTAATACAGCAATTCTAGTTCTTTCTCAGTTGTGCCAGGGGAAAAGTGGAAAGCTATTGTAGACGGTGTTTTTTGTGTGGGTGTTGTTTTTTGTGGGGGTTTTTTTGCATAAAGAAAGAAGCAAAAGAATTGTCTTACCACCACCCCTCCCCATTTATTTGCCAAGGAATAAGCCACAGCACCTGCTCTGTCACCGAATTCCTCCTGCTGCTGAAACGCCGGAACATGCATGAGGAGAGGCAGCGCTCAAGGAACTATTATTAGATCTCAGACCCATCCCTGCCAGCACAGAGGACTCAAGCAGAGGAGCTGGCTAAGAGCACAATTTGTCCCTAGTGCAAATACAAATGAACCTCCACCCCTTCGCTCAGATGATCCCTATTTCATTAAAACTCTTTCTTGATCAGCAGTTGAGCAGAGTCTATGTGATAGCAGCAGGTCTCTTAAGCGGAGAAAAATAAGTCCTTGTTTGAGGAATCTGATTAATGAAACCTATACAGTGACCTAGATCACCGGCTGCAGGCAGACATTTGCCGAACCTTCTGTGGTCTTGCTTGCCTACTAAGTTGCTTATAAGCATATGGGGAAATTTGACCTCTGTACCTTGGCTATTTGTCAAAAAGTTCTAATACGGTACAAGAGAGCTTCTGTTCTTTAAGCTTTGCCCGCAAATAGACACTCCATGCTTGATTTTCAAGGAGAGATCAGTGATAAGGCACAGCAGAGCCTCCTTGATACACGTCAGGAAAACAAGCCCGCATTAATAAAAACGCCTACCTCTGCCATATGCCTGAGAAAACCCTGCTGGTAGCACCTTTGCTGGAGCTGATAGAGACGTTAAAGCTAGGGATGGGTCTTTGAAGAACAGTTACCTAATCACCACTGTTTATGGGGTGCTAGGCTACAGCACTAGTTCCAGAAGGCTGACATCTATTGTGAAGTTTATGGTCTCCGTGACTTTTACTACTGTAAACGCCTGGGATGGCTATAAATTGATGTCAACTTTAAAGGCCAGATCCTTTAGAGCAAAATATTAATCCACTAATCTATTATGGGTGGCCGGCTTTGAAATACAAACTTTGTAGTCCCAGACCATTAGGTGTTTTCGCCCCCTTGTGGAATTTATTTAGAAGGTCAAAACAAAGCTGTTTGCTCAAGAGGGTTTTGTTTTATTGTTTGTTTTTTGCCACTGATGAATACTTTAGCGTCTTTTTTTCTTGAAGTAAATAATGTATATTTGCGCCACAATTTTTTTAATCAAAGAAGTTTACAGAATAAACACCTTTTCTGAAAATAAAAGTACTTTACTAACCAAAGACCTTAACCTATGAGTAAGTGTGCATGGATGATATTTGCCGCAGATTTCAAATTATGCATTGGCAAAGGGATTTTCTTTCTCAAACTGCAATGAGCAGTGGTTTGGGACCAATACTGGCCACCATGTGAGGGCAACAAATACCTGCTCCCCGACAACAGAACTGCTGATTGGTGGTAAGGATGAGTAACACCACATTCATTGGTATGAGGGTGGAAAGGTAGAGAAAAATATCCAGGAATGCAGAATGCAATTATCCACGCTGGAATGTGACCAAGCCACTGGCTCTAATCTTGTGAAAAGGACAACAGACTCTTCAAGGAGCATGAATGTTTCTGTCTGAGTCAACAAACTTTAACATAACACTGACTCCAAATAATAAATTTACAATTCCAGGAATTTAGGATCCAAGTCACTGGCAATTTTTTTTTTCCCTTTCTAAGGGTATTGTTTTTCTAGCACAAAGAGATGTTCCATGTGGCTTCTGAGACGGTAGTTATCATTTTGGTACTGTAGCATTATCATCAAAATCAGAGCTCCAGGCAGGTCGAGGCCATGCCTCAGGAAGAGAACAGTAAGGTAGTTCAGCAAAGGACTTAGCCAGTGAGCCCCCATTACCGTGTGTTCTGTTTGTCTTTTCCCCCCAGAATAGAAGGAACAGTGGCGATGTCAGAATTTTAATTGCAGTGGACTGACTTAAATTACTTGACCTATTTTTATGCAGCAAGAGAAACAATTCTTCTTTTCTTGGTGGCCATACTTATAATTTAAACTGGAAGAGAAAATATAAGGGCATTTTCCATCAAAGAATGTACTGTTGGTAAACATACCAGCGCATTAGATCCATGTACATTTTTGAAAACTATGAAGACTCCTGAAAAAAGAAATTTCCCTCTCACAGGAGGAAATTAAACTCAGAAGTAATGATAAGTAATGAATTTTATATATTCTAAGAGAGGTAGTTGTGAATTTCTGTCATTTTTTATTTATAAGCACAACAAAAGAAAAGCAAAGAAAAAGAATTCTTGGGCCCTGGGAAAGAATATCAAACCAACGTCCTTCCATACTTTTTTGATAAAAAAAAATAGTTTTTAAGCCACTAGATTCTGATCAGTTGCTTTTTCCCCCCAAGATGAGTACTGCATGTCAGAAGCAGTCCTAGGGGATAACTGGTGGACTTTTTGAGACTTCTGCTTGGCCAAACCAGGACCTGCAGAGTGATCTGAGGCAGAGGAAAGATGGACAAGGTGTATTATTACTTTCTTTATGTGTTGTTGGTTTTCACTGGGCTGAACTAATCTGAAAGATTAGCGAGGCAGTGTCCCAACATGGGGTAAGCCCCGTGGTTCTTGGGATTCTTGGAATTTTCCCATGGTGTCACCATTGTGCTCAGCCATGAAATCCTGCCCTTTCTTCCCCCTGCAGCAGAGTGGTTACTTGATTACACTGGGGGTTGCTGAACAAAGCCCGCAAGGGATCTGTCTCCTAAGG